AAAAAAAAAAAAAAAAGAGTCTCTCTTTCAAGTAAAAGCGTAAATTGATGTTAATTCAGTCTCAATTTTAAGATCAGGATTATAACCTAAGTTGCAGGGTTGGCTGCTCTTTTTATCTGAAGTTTCAAGAGGCCCTGAAGTAGAAATGAGAAAATTTTAAAGTGTCATTTTAGAAAAATTCCTGCCATTTTAAGGGCCAAACAATTATAAATGAAGATAGGCAATGTCTGGATTTTTTAAAAACTTTTATTGAAATATAGTAAGTTCTGAAATAAGGCAGAGAGGTCATATATTTAATGCTCAAAGGGGAAAGTGAGGCACAAAGTCACACAAAGGCTGCAGGATTTGCAGGTGTTGAACCTTTGGGGCTAGAAAGAAATAAGGAGTGAGCTGGATGTGGTGGCTCATGCCTATAATCCCAGCACTTTGGGAGGCCAAGACTGGCAGATTGCTTGAGCTCACAAGTTCAAGGCTGGCCTGGGCAACATGGTAAAACCCCGTCTCTACAAAAAATACAAAAACTAGCTGGGCATGGTGGTGTGTGCCTGCTGTCCCAGCTACCTGGTAGGCTGAAGTGGGCGGATGGCTTGAGCCCAGGAGGCAGAAGTTGCAGTGAGCTGAGATCACACCGCTCCACTCCCGCCTGGGCAACAGAGCAAGACCCTGTCTTAACAACAAAAATAAGCCTGGGCACAGTGGCTCACACCTATAATCCCAGCACTTTGGGAGGCTGAGTCAGGCAGATCACTTGAGGTCAGGAGTGTGAGACCAGCTGGCCAACATGGTAAAACCCCATCTCTACTACAAATACAAAAATTAGCTGGTGTGGTGGGGTGTGCCTGTAATCCCAGCTATTTAGGAGGCTGAAGGAGGAGAATCATTTCAACCCTGGAGGTGGAGGTTACAGTGAACTGAGATCATGTCACTGCACTCCCGCCTGGGTAACAGGGCAAGACTCTGTCTCAAAAAAAAAAAACAAGAAACAACAACAAAATTAAGGAAACAAATTTGTGGTTAGGAAGGTGGGTGAGAAAAACAATCTATACATGTAGGCAAGCAGTTTGTCATATGTGGACTAATCTTCCAAATCTCAGTCTAGTACTAATCTCATGCTACTTGGTATAGATTTTTTTTTTCTGTTGCCCAGGCTGGAGTACAATAGCACAGTCTTGGCTCACTGCGATCTCCGCCTCCAGGGTTCAAATGATTCTCCTGCCTCAGCCTCCTGAGTAGCTGGGATTACAGGCACCCTGCCCCATGCCCAGCTAAGTTTTATATTTTTAGTAGAGACGGTGTTTCACCATGTTAGCCAGGCTGGTCTCAAACTCCTGACCTCGTGATCCGCCCACCTCGACCTCCCAAAGTGCTGAATATTTTAAAGTGAAATGTTTGGCATTCCCGAGGAGTTTCAACAATACAAATATTAGCCACTCTTAGAAACAGACTTTGGACCTAGAAATGATGTTTGGCGTGTTGATGGGAATAGTGAGAAGAAACTAAACTGAGGACTATACAAATATTAGAAAGAAGATTAATATCTTTACTATCTTATGTCAGGCCTTACAAGTTAAATGTTAGGAGTTTCTTCTTTTTCTGCCTAAAACTTGAATGCCAGAATGAGCTGAGTTACAATGCAACCCGGAAAACTGATCACTGGTTAAAGTATGGTCTCTAGATCTTGTTACTGGGTATTACAGCTCTTTGGCAAATGCCTTTGTATTTGTTTAATGACTAGAAAACAATTCAAGAAAAGTGACAACAAAGACAATAATTACAAAACGGGCTGATAACCTGGGTTAATTATGATTGCCAAATACAGAAATTTGTTTTTAAGAAATGATGTGTTAATATCAATAGATACCAAGGATATAATCTGGTCCATTAAGGTCAAAGTGAAATTTAACTTACATAGTAAAATATCACTTTACAAGAAAGTCAATTTGACCAGTTCATTGTGAAAAAGAGCATTATTCTCTTTCCTTTCTCACTTGTGATCCAGACAAAACAAATATCTGATTTATCTAAACAAAGTTTTTTTTTTTTTTAAAATACAAAAGCTCTATCAGTTTCATATAACCTTAAAACTCTACTCAAACTGAGATGCTCAGGTTTACATAAATATATATACATATATATTTTTTAAATCCCAGAGTCCAAGACACAAGCCCACAGCGGTGTGTGGCCACCAGAGGCCGATCATTTAACTCTGGGAGTGTGTGACTGTTGTGAGGTGTGTGGGTCTCTGACCTACATTTATAGCTGTCAGTTTTGAACACCCTTCCCATGAGGAAATCTTGGCCTTTTGCTCAAAACGTCTGAACAAAACTCACCTCTGAACTAACAGAGATGTTAACAGGACACCTGGCACAAAGGGGCTTAGAGAAACTTGTTCTCATATAGTCTCTCAGGCTGTCAGTCATCTAGGCACAAGTGAGTCAGCATCCATGGTGTTCAGAAGATAGAGTTCAGGCTGAGCTGTCAATCCCAGATGGTACTAAGGAAAAAAAAGATGGAAGAGGATTAGACCGATTTTCATGTATTTATTGAAATCAGCATTTAAGTACCTGTAATTAGCACATCAATTTAGGCCTTTTTTCCATATTGCTATATTGATTTTTATTTCAGAAAGGACATGGCTTGCACATACATACATGAATGGTTTCTGATATGCAGAAGCTGATATGTAGGAGCTGAAATAGTTAAGGACTGAGATGGTGTCAAATGTCCTCAGCAAAATTAGTACTCTGATGATTCTTGTGACACACTCTACCTCAGGATGGGTGCTTCAAATCAGTATAAGAGCACACATGCAGAATGCTGTTGTATTTTACTACTGTGTGGGTTAGAAATCAAATTTCCAACCATCTCAATAATTCTGGCCCTATTATCCTTTGGCACTGGAGCAGAGAAAAGCCTTTCATTTACAAAACAAAAACATGAAATAGCAGTTACTAAGAGACAGAAAGATGATCTATGGGTCCCAAATGTTTGTCATGCTGAATCAGCATCACCGAAGCTGCTTTTAAAACACAACTCCAGGCTGGGTGCGGCAGCTCACGCCTGTAATCCCAGCACTTTGGGGGGCCAAGTTGAGTAGATCACAAAGTCAGGAGATAGAAACCATCTTGGCCAACATGGTGAAGCCCTGTCTCTACTTAAAATACAAAAATATTAGCTGAGTGTGGCAGCTCGCGCCTGTAATCCCAGCTACTCGGGAGGCTGAGGCAGGAGAATCACTTGAACCCAAGAGGTGGAGATTGCAGTGAGCCAAGATCGTGTCACTGCACTCCAGCCTGGCAAAAGAGAGAGACTACGTTTCAAAAAACAAACAAAAATGAAACACAATGCCAGCTGGGCATGGTGGCTCATGCCTGTAATCCCAGCACTGTGGGAGGCCGAGGCGGGTGGATCACCTGAGGTCAGAAGTTCAAGACCAGTCTGGCCAACATGGCGAAACCCCACCTCTACTAAAAATACAAAAATTATTGGGGCATGGTGGCACATGCCTGTAATCCCAGCTACTCTGGGGGCTGAGGCAGGAGAATCACTTGAACTCAGGAGGCAGAGGTTGCAGTGAGAGGAGATTGTGCCACTGCACTCCAGCCTGGGCGATAGAGGGAGACTCCATCTCAAAAAAAAGAACTGAGTCTAGATGGTTTGTGTTGGGACCTGTGAAGTTTTTTTTTTTTTTTTTTTGTAGTGAGTTGGTCTCACTATGTCACCCACGCTGGAGTGCTAATGACAAAATCTTGGCTCACTGCATGGAACCTCTGCCTCTTGGGCTTCAGCCATCCTCCCATCTCGGCCTCCCAAGCAGCTGGGACTACAGGTGTGTGCCACCACACACTAAGCTAATTTTTTTGTAGACAGGGTTTTGCCATGTTTCCCAGGCCGGCTGTGAAGTTATTTTTACTTTTTCTCTCCCTCAAATACACCTTGGGACAACTTTGTGTCTCATTTTAGCCCTACTATTATTACTTTAGAGCTTTTATTATTTATTATCCCATGGCACCAACAGCCTGTAAGCTAATGCAGAATGCAGACTATAAATTTATTGGCAGCAACTATCCTGTTTTAGTATAATGGAAAGGCACTGCCGTTGAGTTCAAGCCCTTAACTCTACCACTTGCTATGGCCTTCAGCATGTCACATACTTTCGGATACTTATTCTACTTACTTGTAAAATGTGAAGAAATGCCACATTTGAAAATGCCAAGTACAGCCAGGCACAGTGGCTCACACCTGTAATCCCAGCACTTTGGGAGGCTTTGGTGGGCAGATCACGAGGTCAGGAGTTCAAGACCAGCCTGGCCAACATGGTGACACTCCATCTCTAAAAATATAAAACTTAGCTGGACGCAGTGGTGTGTGCCTGTAGTCCCACCTACTCGTGAGGCTGAGGTAGGAGACTCACTTGAACCCAGGAAGTGGAGGTTGCAGTGAGCCGAGACCACACCACTGCACTCCAGCCTGGGCAACAGAGTGAAACTCTGT